CCCTCCTCCTCCCCCTCCTCCTCCCCCTCCTCCTCTCCCTCCCCCTCCTCCTCTCCTCCTCTCCCTCCTCCCCCTCTCCCTTCCCCCCCCCCCCTCTCCTCTCCCTCCTCCTCCTCCTTTTCCTCCTCCTCCTCCTTTTCCTCCTCCTCCTCCTTTTCCTCCTCCTCCTCCTTTTCCTCCTCCTCCTCCTCCTCCTCTCCCTCCTCCTCCTCTCCCTCCTCCTCCTCTCCCTCCTCCTCCTCTTCCTCCTCCTCCTCCTCTCCTCCTCTCCCTCCTCCTCCTCCTCCTTTTCCTCCTCCTCCTCCTCTCCCTCCCCCTCCTCCTCTCCTCCTCTCCCTCCTCCTCCTCTCCCTCCTCCTCCTCCTTTTCCTCCTCCTCCTCCTTTTCCTCCTCCTCCTCCTCCTCCTTTTCCTCCTCCTCCTCCTCTCCCTCCTCCTCCTCTCCCTCCTCCTCCTCCTTTTCCTCCTCCTCCTCCTCCTCCTTTTCCTCCTCCTCCTCCTCCTCCTCTCCATCCTCCTCTTCCTCCCCCTCCCCCTCCTCCTCTTCCTTCCTCTTCCCCTCCCCCTCCTCCTCTTTCTCCCCCTCCACCCCTCCCTCCTCCTCCTCCTCCTCCTTTTCCTCCTCCTCCTCCTCCTTTTCCTCCTCCTCCTCCTCCTCCTCCTTTCCCTCCTCCTCCTCCTCCTCCTCCTCACCCTCCTCCTCCTCACCCTTCTCCTCCTCACCCTCTTCCTCCAACTACTCCTCACCCTCCTCCTACTCTTCCTCCTCCTCCTCCTCTCCCTCCTCCTCCTCTCCCTCCTCCTCCTCTCCCTCCTCCTCTCCCTCCTCCCCCTCTTCCTCCTCCTCTCCCTCTTCTTCCTCCTTTCCCTCTTCCTCCTCCTCTCCCTCCTCCTCCTCCTCCTAATCCTAATCCTTCTCTTCCTCCTCCTCCTCCTTCCCCTCCCCCTCCTCCTCTTCCTCCCCCTCCACCACACCCTCCACCTCCTCCTCCTCCTCCTCCTCTCCCTCCCCCTCCTCCTCCCCCTCCTCCTCTCCCTCCCCCTCCTCCCCCTCCTCCTCTCCCTCCCCCTCCTCCTCCCCCTCCTCCTCTCCCTCCCCCTCCTCCTCTCCCTCCTCCCTCTCCTCCTCTTCCTCCTCCCCCTCCTCCTTCCCCTCCCCCTCTCCTCCTCTCCCTCCTCCCCCTCTCCCTCTCCCTCCTCCCCCTCTTCCTTCCCCTCTCCTCCTCTCCCTCTCCCTCTCCCCCTCCCTCTTTCCCAGCCCTAACACCCTATCCAGACCCTATCCCGTCTCTTACAAGCTATCTTAGGTTCATTACGTCAAGCGGCCGCAGAAATTGGCACATTTGGCGGCGCTGCGTTTGAGGGTGAGCTGGGTGGGGGAGGGAGTAGGGGGAGTGGGGGAGTGGGGGGGGTGTTATAGAGACGAAGGAAAGGTGAAAAAAAATAAGGAAAGAAAAGGAAAGAGGCCGTTAAACGGGGAAGGAAGGGGGAAATGGAGTGATTTGAATGGAATGAGGGAGGAAGGGATCGAAGATTAACGAGAGATGGATGAATGAATGAGAGAGAGAGAGAGAGAGAGAGAGAGAGAGAGAGAGAGAGAGAGAATCTGAATTACATTGGCCATGAATAAGACACAGACAAAGACAGATACATATATTAAATAATCATGAAAAAGGGGGGAAGCGAAAGAAATTGAGTAAGAGGGAGGTAAAAAAAGAGACAGAAAAAAAACAGTTGACAAACCGACAGAGACGTACGATAAAAAAGAGGCAAGGAGACGAGAGAAAGAGAGAGAGGGATGACTGTGTACGTAAAGGCAATCGATAGAAAGTTTCATAATCTTTTCTCACTCTTATTTATGCGCAGACATGCTCTCTTGGCTCAGGCACATGCGTGTGTATACATTCAGACACGCTTGTGTATATAGCGCGCGCGCACGTGTGTGTACGTGTGCGTGCGAGAGAAAGAGACATACAAACAGGCAGGGAAGCAGGCAGGCAGACAGACAGACATACAGACATGCAGACAGACACACACACACACACACACACACACACACACACACACACACACACACACACACACACACACACACACACACACACACACACACAGATACACAGATACACAGATACACAGACAGACAGACAGGCACACAGACAGACAGATACACACACAGACAGACAGACGGTAAGTGAGTGACCGCGCAGGAGAGAGAGACTGGCAAACAGACAGCCATTCAGACGGAGGGACAGCCAGACATGAGTACGTATGTGTGTCTATCCCTAAGCTGAATGAACAGAGAGAGAGAGAGAGAGAGAGAGAGAGAAGATTCCGCTCCATTGCCCACTCAATCGCTGTTCCTGGCAGTAATCCGAGCCACCTACCCCCTCCCCATCCTCCCCTTCTCCCTCCCCCCTCCCCTCCCCCCTTCCCCCTCTCCCTCTCCCTCCCCCTCTCCCTCTCCCTCTTCCTTCCCCCCTCCCTTCCCCCCTCCCCCTCTCCCTCTCCCTCTTTCCTCCCCTTCCCCCCATCACTCCCTCCCCACTCCCCCCTACCACCCCCTACCCTCTGCCCCCCCCTTCCCCCTCTCCCTCTCCCTCCCCCAGACATCAACACCCCCACCCCCCCCTCCCCAGCCCATCCCATGCCCTACCCTCCGATGCCCACGTGGTAGGCACGGCGGGAAGGACTGCCCCGCCTTATCAGCTCTCACGTCCGGTCCGATAAGAGACACTTCAGCACATACCGCTCCGCCAGCCAGGGGGTTGCAGCGCCTTTGCCTCAGGGACTGCTAACAGAGAGGAGGAGGAACAGGAGGAGGTGAGAAAAGGAGGGATGGTAGAGAGGAGGTGGGAGGAAAAAGGGATAACAGTGAGGGAAAGGAATAACAGAGGGAGGGACAGGAGGAGGTGAGAAAAGGAGGGATGGCAGAGAGGAGGAGGTGAGAAAAGGAGGGATAGCAGAAAGGAGGAGGAACAGGAGGAGGTGATAAAAGGAGGGATGGCAGAGAGGAGGAGGAACAGGAGGAGGTGATAAAAGGGGGGATGGTAGAGAGGAAGAGGAACAGGAGGAAGTGAGAAAAGGAGGGATGATAGAAAGGAGGTGGGAGGAAAAAGGGATAACAGTGAGGGAAAGGAATAACAGAGGGAGGGACAGGAGGAGGTGAGAAGAGGAGAGATGATAGAAAGGAGGAGGAACAGGAGGAGGTGAGAAAAGGAGGGATGGCAGAGAGGAGGAGGAACAGGAGGAGGTGAGAAAAGGAGGGATGATAGAGAGGAAGTGGGAAGAAAAAGGGATAACAGTGAGGGGGAGGAAGAAGAGGATGGGAGGAAAGGAGGAATAACAGAGTGGGGGGGGGGGGGCAGGAGGAGGTGAGAAAGGGAATGATAACAGAGAGCAGGTGTCGGGGGGGGGGGGGGGGGGGGGGGGGGGAGTGATAACAGAGAGAGGAGGAAATAAAAGACTGGAGGAAATGAAGGATAACGAAAAGGAGGAGGAAGAAGAGGAGGTGAGAAAATGAGATAACAGAAAGGAGGAGGAAGAGGAGGAGGTGAGAAAAGGAAGGATAACGGAGAGGGGGAGGAAGGAGAGGATGGGAGGAAAGGAGGGATATCAGAAAGGAAAAAGAAAGAGGGAGGAGAGAAAATGAGAGATGACAGAACTTAGGAGGAGGAGGAGGAAAAGAGAAAATGGGGAATAACAGAAAGTAAGAGGAAGAAGAGGAGAAAGAGTACGGCGATTATTAATAGGAGATGAAGAAGGTGAAAGGACAAATGAAGTGTTTAATAAAGAAGCAGATGATGGAGGGAGACAGAGTAAAGGAAGAAACTATCACAAGCGTTGATGAGAGAGAATCTATTATAACAAGGACGAAGAAAATTTTAAAATATAAATAAAAATAAAATGAAAAAAATATATATAAAATGCAAATGAAGGATATGCTAAGAAGGTAGATAAAGAAGTGATTAATTACGGCGCGCAGATACCAAGCTAAAAGGAACAGAGAAAACGGAAAGAAAATTAATTAAGGACCGGTAAATGAGGAGCATCAAATTAATTAGAGAACGGAAGGAAAATAGAAAGTTAATAATGGAACGTGAATGCTAAACAAAGAAAACAAGGAGTAAATTGATTAAGGAACGTAAAATCTAAACGCAACGAAAATAAGGTAAAAATCAATTAAATTAAAAACAAATCGTAAACCTTATGCACAAAGAAAACGGGAATAATATTAATCAAGGAACTGAAACCCTAAAAGAAAATGAAATGGAGGAGATTAATTATGCAATATAAAATCTAAACAAAGAAATCTGAATAGTATTATTCACTTAAGGAAAGTAAACACTAAGCAAAGAAAACGGGGAGAAGATTAATTAAGGAACGTAAACACGAAACACAAAGAAAACGGGAAAACTGTATTGCAGAAAGAAAACGTAGAGAGTAATATTAATGAAGGAACACCGATACCTCATGAATCAAACAACATTCATGCTAAACATAATAAAACATAAAGAGAAAGATAAAAGGGAGTCATAAAGAAACGTAGATGTCAAACAAATGAAATGTTGAAAAGATTTACAAGAAAAACAATAAAAAAATGAAAAGTCAGTCACGTCTCAACATCAAGTCAGAAGAAGTGAAAACATGTAAAAACGAAATTGAAGTGAGCTTTCGAAATCTGAGATAGGAAAGGGAGAGAAAGGGATAAAGGAAGGAAAAGAGGGAAAACAAGAATGATAAAAGGAAGAGAATATAACAATATGTTATGCCCGTTTTCATTTTCTTTTACGTCTTTTTCTTCTACCTCCTCTCTCTTATTTCTATTTTTATTGTTCTTATTCTTGCTCTTGTTATTGCTCTTCTTGCTTTTGTCATTGTTCTTCTTCTTCTTCTTCTTCTTCTTCTTGCTCCTTCAGTTCAGTATTATTGACTTTCCTTAGCCTGCTTTTCTTTGTTTATAGCAATATGACATCAGGAATGAAATAAAAGAAAAATAAGTTGAGAGTTGCAAGTAAAATGAGCTTTATTGCCCCATCCCGTCGTTATCCAGCTTGGGTGAAAGTGTGGGCCCGGTCGGGAAGATGTTCGTTCTGGGCGTAGGACTTCTTTTGGTCCGACTTCATCTGCAGTGACTTCGCCCTTGGAGTTCTCGAGGCGCACGCCCCGCGCGACGGAGCCTGTGGCAGAAGAGGTCCCTGGCAAAGAACAATGAATCGCAATCAGGTTTCTTGTTATTGTAAGAAGGCATCTTGATTACGCCTTTGGGAAAATTGGCAATTCTGTTTTGTCATGTATTTGCGTGTAATACACACACACACACACACACACACACACACACACACACACACACACACACACACACACACACACACACACACACACACACACACACATTTTTTTTTCTTATATATATATATATATATATATATATATATATATATATACATATATATATATATATATATATATATATATATATATATATATATATATATATATATATATATATATATGATACTGAATACATGTATAGATAGATATGAAATATACATGTAAGTGTGTGTATGTGTGCAGAGGTAGATAAACAGATATAGATATAGATACAGATATATAGACAGAAATAGATACCAGTACAGTCTGCATGCGCGCGCGAAGGCGATTAACCCAGCTTCAAGAAGCAGTCACAAGCAACGAGAGTGTATGCTTCCCCTCGCTCGGAAAATACGCCTTATGCCCATATATTAGAGCAAGTCACAGGCAGCCTGGAATAGCAACGGAGCGTCTGCGTGTTACAATTTGGCACCTGAGCGGGTATCTCCTCTGCCTGGTCATGCCCTCTGACCAGTGCCAGCAGGCACTCCTCAGCCAGACACTCGCTGCAATGAGACCGACAGACCTTGCTTGGCATGAGATCAGGAGGAATGCTTTCGGGAATCATCCGGGGTCTTTCGCAAATTTAGGTTGAGAGTGTCATTCTCACGAGGGTGAAATACACACATGCACATACACACGCACGCACGCAGACACGCACGTAGACACGCACGTAGACAGATATGTACACACCCACCTGCAGAGCACCAGTGACATTGTCCTTGTTTTGTGTTGTTTTTTCTTTTTTTTTCTTTCTTTTTTGTACTCTTCGGATTTGTTGGCAATGTGTACCTAACAAATGAGTGTTTCTTTGCAAAGCCTGTATTAAACGCGGTTGTAGTTGGTTATTCGATGAAATGACGAAGACTTTTTGTTTAGAAGTCGAAAAATTAAATAGCTGTAATCCTTCTTATCAGTGATGTAAATTCATTGTGTAGTGCTTATCCATCTCTCCGCTGGTGTTCATTTTTGCATCACTTCTCACTCACTCCGTCGACCGAAACCAGGTTAGATCCAGTTTTAAGTCTGGATCTCGCCCGCTCTCGGTTTGCCTAACCTGACCTTTTCGTTTCAGTGTCATAATGTGTGAAATGCAAGAGATGTGGGGTTGATCTTTGCAAGCGGTGTTAGCGGGGGGAAAAGTGTGTTAATATTGCCACAGTTCGGAGGAGTCTGGGCCGCTGGGCTGGGTGGGTTAAGCACCGCATGATGCTATCTATTTATAGCACTTCCGCCATGTTGAGGCTCTCACGCAGAACATCTCTATCGAATGATGTTCGAACGTGGGTGATGTTTCTGTAATGGATCTGTCTGAAGGAGGTGTAAGAAAAAAAGTTTGGTCATTTCCTAAGGGCGCAAGTGTTTGTTTATCCCGCCCACCGCTCGCCCCTCAGCCCGCCGCCCACGCCAAGGGCTCGGCCAGATTTCTGGCAAGATGAAGTTGCCTGGGCCGTGTAAGCCCGAGGTGGCGTCACCGTCGTCAGCGTCGCTCAACCGGCCCGGCCGCTGCCGCCCCGCACGCCAGGTCCGCGCGCTCCCCTCCCCTCAGTCCCATCGCCGCCAGCGCTACCTCTGCACGGGCGAACCGGTCCCGCGGCCCCACTCACCTGAGCGCTGTTGCCTCATAGCCGTCATCGCCAGCGCACGCCGCGTGATCTCGCCCTCGGTCTGTCTCCCTCGCGCCGCTGCGTTCGTGGCTGACTGTCCCCGCTCACGCTGCTGCAAGTGAGCGCCTCGGTTTTCACTTTGAATTGACTCTTTGGAGCTCGTGGTGGTACTGAAGGAACTTTTCCTGAGATTCCGGTGTATCTCGGCCCCGAGAGGACAAGCCAGTCGGCCTCATAGCTACAACAATGATGTTCTTCAATTCCATTTGTCACATTGTAAGTACAAGGATTGATGACTGTATTTCCACTTTTTATCGAAACACTCAGTTCCGCCATGCCATTATTTTCCCCTTTTCACTGTTTAAGTTCAGTCCCAGACAGTAAAAATAATCGGACAGGTTCCTAGTAAAAAGGTCAGGGTTAAGCTTCCTGTAAGAATGCGATTGTGCTTATTTAAGGTTCAAGGAAAACTTCTCGTTTCTTTGTTTTTTCTTTCTCTCTTTTTTTTTCTCAAGTTGCAA